CTTTAAGAGGGGAAAGTTAAGCAGGTAAAGAGTGAGATAGGTTTGTTTAATATCAAATCCACTTACATTAACAAGTTGTGCATATATGGCTGTTGGGAGAATTTCTCCTCTCCCATATGGTGTGGTGTACTACTGTGATCTGTTTACTGTTTAGGGTTTATGTTTAGTTATTTCCATCTGCTGATTCTATAAATAGTTATAGAAGCAACAGAATTGTCAATGGATGTAATCTTGAATATCCTTTGTATCTCTCTTTAGATAACATTCAATCCAAAGCAATAGAAAATAGTAACACATTACCTAGGCTCAACAAGTATAACATATTTGACAAAGAGCTTTATCTTACATTTTCACGCGAAGAAGCAGACGAGCAGGTGTTTGCAAGCTAAGGAGCAATAGACTATGTGCCTAGTCAGATAGCATTTCTGAAATGCCATTTTGGTGGAATTTTCCTCTCTAAATGATGCTTCTCACTATCATTGTCCTTGAAGGATCTTGGGATTACTGTTGATCATAAATTGAACATGAGCCAGCAGTATGATGCTGCAGCAAAAGAAGTGAATGCCTTCTTAGCCTGCACGAATGAAAGCATAGTTTCCAAGTTGAAGGAACAGTCCCACTATATTCTGTTCTGGTCAGCCCTTATCTGGAGTATTAGGAATAGAGAGGGAGTTAAGAAAATTATGTTAATAGGATATGATTTCATGTTAATTATTTTTTACTTTTGGAACCTTGAAGGATGCCATTAAGCCTTAAGATTCCTTGTAAACACAATATATAGATTATTGTACATGGAAATTTTTATTTATAGTCTGGAAAATAACTGCTCAGAAAGGAGATTCAACAACACAAGGGAGATGAGTTCTACCACCAGATATTCTTTGAGGATTACTTTTTCCTCAGGTTGCTAGGTAACACTATCCAATTTGGTTTCTGTTAACTTCTTTACTTAGTGCACCATCCAAAATTAATGTCTTTTGTTTAAAAAATAATTTAATTTCTCTTTAGTTCTCTTGTCAAGAAGTTGTGAGTTTACAAATCTAAATAACAAGTTTCTTTTTTTAGTGGAGAATTGAACAATATTTTTTTCTTTGTCTTAACAGTTGTAGGTGTAGTATAAACTCTATGTAATAAGTAAAGCCTTGTCCATGTAAATTTGCATCTCTACCTATTACATTGCTTCTTATAGTACATTCAAAGATGCTGACCATAACTTCAGTATCAACTCTTTTTCCCACCAGGTTTTACAAAATATCTTGTCTGCCTGATGTGGAAATCTCAAAGGTGTGCACTCACAGTGATATGCACCTTTTGTGGATCCTAGTAAATGCATTACCTGACCATAGATTTTAGAACTTTTATTATAGATGGATACAAATATGTTGTTTGGTGCTTGTTGCATCTCTGACTGACTTGCGAGAGACAGAAAAATCTAATATAAAAACAATAAATAATGGAAATCACAATAAAACTAGTTACTGGTGACAATAGAATATGCCAAAACGACTGTTGAGCCTCCTCAAACACTTAGAAAATTTAGGCAAGTTTTTAAAAAAAACAAAAAAAAACACTTAGTGTGGAAAAGGAAACCATGGAAGAGTGAGCATATTTCTCTGATGAGGAAATATAAACACTGGCATAACAGAAGAATAGAAAAGGTTCTGCAGGAAATCATTACTTGCATTACCTGAGAAAATGGCAAGGCCTCACAGAATGTTCTTAACAGTGCATTCATGTCAGAAGAAGTAGTCCTTCAGTTATCCTAATCCCATGTAATTTTAAGACTCTTGTTACAAGCAGCAGCTTGAAAGTATGTAGGAAGTGGACTGGAAGGACCTTGATAGTTTGGCGAGCTGGGCCAAAACAAACATAAATAATTTCAGCAAAAATAAATGTAAGGTATTACACTTAGGCAGGAAAAATTAAATGTAGAAATATGGGATGGGTGACACTTGGCTTGATAGCAGTAGATGTGAAAAGGATGTGAGAGGTTGTAATATACCACAATTTTAACGTGAGCCAACTTTGTGACAGAGCTGTCAAAAAGGACAATGCAGTTCTGAGCTCCATTAACAAAAGCATAGTACCCAGATCAAGAGATGTAACAGTACCATTCTGTTCAGCTTTCGCCAGATCTCCAGTTCTAGGCATCACAATCCAGAAAGGATGTTCACAATCTGGAACATATTCAGAGGGGGGCAACCAAAATTGTAAGTTGTCTGGAAATCATATCTTATGCAGAACCACTCAGAGAACTGGAAATCTTTGCCTGGAGAAGGGAATTATGACAGGCATTTTAAAATACTTGAAGGGATGCCATATTGAAAATGGAGCAGATGAGAACAAGCTGAAACTAGAACATGAACCAGTGGATTAAAATTGCATGAAAAATGATGCATCCTAAACATTGGGAAGGACATCCTTAAACTAACAGCTTTTCCACAGTGGAACAGACCATCTCGAAGAGTGTCTTCTTCACTGCAGACCTTTAAACAGAGGTTGGGTTACTACCTCCTGGAAGTACTTTTACAGTGTACCTGCATTGCCAGGGTTGGACTAGATGGTTCTTGTGATCCCTTCCAGCTCTATTATTTGAGTCTGGACCCGATGTTAAGTTAACTATGAGAAACAAGCTGCAAAATTCACATACTGTCTTCTGCTTCGCCTTGTGTCTTTTGTGTGGATTCCCTCAGTATTTTTATCTCAGAATTACATATGACTATCCACCTCATATATTGTCTCTAAATTCTGAACCCAGTCTACTATGGAGTCCCTTTTGTTCCTCAGGCATTGCTGTTCTGTGATTCAAATGCATTGCTACTAAGCAGCCACAAATTAATGAGTATTGTGCTTCGTTTTGTATTCCACAATTCCACATCAAATTATATTGTCCTGTATGGGAGTTACATGCAAAATGGGTGGTTGTTTTCAGGTTAGATAGACTGTTTCTTGGATCACCTTTTCTTTTTAACTGCACTGGAAGGATTGGTAGAATAACAGTGATTCTTTCAGCTGCTCCATACATATGTATTCCCCAGCTGTGGTGCTTTGCTGTGACTTCCATGTTACTCCCCTAGAATTTCAGAGCTAATTTGTCATTCTAGCCACTTCATTTTACTTTTCTGTAGCTGAGGAACAACAGAGTTCTTCTTTGAATTAGTTTCATCATCCCATTTTTTCAGTGTCCATTTCTGTTTCTTTTTTTTCTACCATCAGAAATATCATGTTTTTTCCTCACTCCAAATCAGCAGGCAAATCATTCCTATTCTGTCTCAGTTGCTGTGGTTCAAACACACTTATTTCTTCTTCACTACTTACCCAGAAATAACTCTGAAAGTCATTTGGCTTACTTCTGAGTAGACATGTATAGTTGTATGACCATATACAGTTTTGTTATAGTAATTTGAGAGATTAGAATGAAAGAGAGAAGGTAGCTTAACATTATTTTCTTCAATGGGATAGAGGAGACAAAAGATTAGTTTTACTTTTATTTGCTTTATCAAATGTACATCATCTCGTACCTACCTCTCTCACAAGACAGGTTTGAACAGTATTTCTTCTCTCAGTGAGACAAAAAGGTTGGTAGTGACACGTAGCCAGGGGCGGCTCAACCCATTACGCAAAGTAAGCATTTGCAGTATAGTTGATTTTGCCCAGGGGCGCTCTTGAGGCGCTCTTGGGGGAAAATAGACCTTGACATATGCGAGTAGTAATTACTGGGATGTAGAGTTCACCTACAATCAGTGGGCATTCTGAACTCCACCAATGATGGAATTGAACCAAATATGGCACACAGAACTCCCACGACGAACAGAAAATATATATCAGTGATTGGGGTTTTTTTTGGGGGGGGGGGGGGACCAAAATACTGTTTGCTTACCATTGAAAATTACCTAGGACCGCCTCTGCACGTAGCACTCTCCCACCCAGAGAGTCCCGAGCCAGTTCTTTGGAGAGCTATGCATCCAGAGCAGTTGTCCACTTGATGCCTTAGTCTGTACATCCCTGTACACGGTAATAGAGTGGGCAAGAGTAGGTTTTCTATAGTGCCCTACTGCTTCATTTCCTTCTATAAAAGAAGAGCTGTATCTCCATAGAGGCCAGTGGGGTGTATTACTGTGGCCCTGGAAGAGACTCCCCTACTTTGAAATCCCATTTAAATATGAGCTTTCAATGTAAATTTAGATGCATAAACAGAAAATGTAATATCCAAACTGTATGATACTGCTTTTCTTCTCAAATATACTTTTCTATAGAAGAAATAGCAGCACAGTAACTGAAATTATTCCTTCTTCCACTCTCTTAGTATGGAGAGAACAAGCTGATTCTGCTGATATGATGCTGCAGCTATATATTTTAAAAAGAGGCATTGCAATATTTCATTTGACGCATGGAGACAGGGTCTATAAACATCCCTCTAGCTCTGATATAGAGTGCTTGTGTTCAAGCATTTTCTTGATTTAGATTCCCATTTAGTGGGAGCACTGACTAAGTCCTAGAGAACCAATGTAATAATCTGGTTTCAGTTTTGGACCTGGACTGTAGGAGATGAAGATTAAAATTCTCACCGAATCATAGAAACTTTCTGAGTGACCCAGGGTAAGTTATACTCTCTCAGTCTGAGATGAAGGCAAAAGTCAATCCAGCCCTAAATAAATATGGCCAAAAACAGTTGCCATTCATTGATTCACTTGCCATTCATTGGGGTCGACTTGAAGGTGCATCTATCCACCATTGCCTAGTTATTTAACTTTGACCAAGCAATTTGGTGAATTGCTTTTGTTTTCAATTTGAGAACGTTTACTGGTTTATAGCATTCATATATGGATGCAACACTCAAATAAGACAAGTACACTGGTATCCATTAAGTCATTTCTGTTAAACATATGCTTTCTCCTGCTTTAACCATTAGGAAATTATGTCTGATTAACTGTTTTTGGTTAATGTTGATATTTCCCATTCATTGGCTTTCAATACTCTTTCTCTTTCTCTCTTTTCAGACCTGTATGTGGAATCAGAGGGAAGACTCTCATAATTAATCTTCCAGGTAGCAAGAAAGGGTCACAGGTGAGCAATGTACTGCGGGGAAAGCAATAAAATATTATGATACTGTGGGAGATGAATAATTTTGTTTATTGTGTTACTTCTTCTGTGACTTAAAACATTGTGCAGTTATTAACAAAATGGGAAAATGGAAGGGAAAAGGTGAGCCTTATTTTAATGAGCAGTCGTGTTAAACCTTGTGAAAGTGCAGCATTCTACTTCAGGTTATCGAAAGAATGTACTGTACCTTTCTGGTTGTTTTCCCCCTTAAGAATCTGTTAATCATAGACTTAAGCCTTTTTAAAATGAGAGATGAAGCTATTCTATACAGGCAGGCTCTTTTGTGTGCATCAACTATCTTGTATGAGAAACAGATGGCTGGATTAAGGAATGTCTTTTAATTGACATTATTTGGTTTATATGCAATATGTCAGGGCCGAGTTATACATTACCTGAAATCTAGTTTCATTGAGGGTTTCTTAAACACTAACGAGCTGCGTAGGGTGTGATGGTTCAACATTAGGAATTCTGTGTGGTAGAAACCAGGCTGCCTTGTGCTGTTTCTGGCTTCATCCCTGAACAATAGATAAATGGGGAGATAAACTCAGGATGAAGAATTATTATTATAACTTTATTTGTACCCCGCTAGCATCTCCCGAAGGACTCGATGCGGCTTACATAGGCCAAGGCCTCAAAACACCATACAACAATACAATACCTAAAGCAAATTAAAAACAGTTAAGCAGTATAACAACAAACATAAACAATACATCAAGACACTATAAAACTGGGCCAGGCCAGAGTGGCTAAGCTCCCAAGCTCTAGAGGTGTATGGTCTCAGTCAGGTCTTAAAATGTCATGGGATATGTAAATGCTTTCTTGCACCTGCGCCTACTGACACCAGCATTTAGGCCAGTAAATTGGGGACATCATTTTTGAGTTTTCTGCTGCAGATAGCACTGGCACAACTTTTCCTGAGAAGGTGAATACTCCAGTAGTGCTAGAACCTGGGGCTCTCCTCTTGGTTCTGTCAAGGTTAGTGATCAAAGGAAAATTTGATTAACCATTTCTCCCATGCAAAAGTCCATTGGTACCAGTTTCTAGATAAGTACATGTTAATTAGCAACTTCAGATGAAAATTTCATCAGAACCATGATGTAGGTAAGAGACAGGAGTTCTAAAAAGAAAATGTTACCGATCCTGATTCTGATTTATCCTCTTCTCCATTACCAAATGCTCCCTTGGCTTTCTGTTCGAAGTTTGAAAACCAATTACTCATCACATTTTAAATAATATGATACTCCATTATTAAGCTATTAACACTCAAGCAACATTCCAGACTTTATGTTTTCTCATTCCTCTTCGGGGTCTCGGACTCACACATATGGGTCATTTGACTACATTCATGAGGAATACAATTCACTTATATTCCATTTTCACTCTACTTGTCTGCTTAGCTCAACAGAACTTTTGCTGGCTCATCAAATTATTTTGTTGTACTTACAGATTGGAAATCTGTGTTCTAAGCATATCTTCCAAATCAGTTGTATAAACCATGCTTTGATACTGCTTCGCAACTTGGAATGGATTATTTACTTAAGACACAATTTGATGATTCTGGTATCACAATAAACTGAAGCAGGGGATATGAAAGGTGGAAGAAACATGTTTACATACTCTATAAATATGTGAGGGGAAGTCATAGGAAGGAGGGAGCAAGCTTGTTTTCTGGAGACTAGGATATGGAGCAATGGCTTCAAACTACAGGAAAGGAGATTCCACCTGAATATTAGGAAGAACTTCCTAACTGTGAGAGGTGTTCAGCAGTGGAACTCTCTACCCCGAAGTGTGGTGGAGGCTCCTTCTATGGAGGCTTTTAAACAGAGGCTGGATGGCCATCTGCTGGGGTGCCTTTGAACGTGATTGTCCTGCTTCTTGGCAGGGGGTTGGATGGCTCACGAGGTCTCTTCCAACTCTATGATTCTATTATTCTTTCATGCCCTTCCATGTGCTGCTGTGATTAGCAAAATGCCCAGGTAGGGCCCATTGGTATTAATGTCTGTTCAGGCTCCAGTGGCACTTATCCCCGCTTTAGCCTTGCCTACCCATGTCATGAATGTAGTTTTTTTCTGACAGTAATAGCTGTCTACCAACCACTTAGTCCAGCCACCAACCATTTTAATTGTTTCGGTCTGTCTTTGAAGTGTGTCACATAGTATTGAGGGAATTTTTACATGGGCAGTTTCTTAGTCTTTTGATAGATTCACAAGCATGATGACTCTCTAAGGAAAAGGGGCCCATAAAAGAGACCAGTACCTTTCACAAACCTGGAGCCAGATTTAGAGAACTGAAAAACATGACATCTGTATGCTGCCATTCTTGTGGAGAAGAACACCTGTCATTTAGACAGCAATTTTTGTAATCCCTTTTTATCTCTGTCTTTCTCTTTTATGGGTATTTCAACTCTTCTCCCTATTTTTCATATGAGATGCTACAGAAAATTGGCTTTTAGCAAAGATAATTAGTGTAAAAAAACATCTGTTCTCAAGACTGGCATGCACCTAAAGACTATATAAAGAGGATTTTCTTTTTTTAATGTGAGTAGCACAGCTTTATGTTCCTATAATTTTGTTATTGAATCAAATAAGTAAACAAACAAGTTTTAGAATCAATATAGTCTTAATTATCACAATATAGTCAAATTGTATTGCATTTGATATGTCAGCATGAACACCAAATTAACATAGATAAAACATTTTGCATCACTGATGGATTTGCATGAATATCTCCCATACAGGCATTTATAGATGGATGTGGTGTGTGCATACTTGTTTTATGTCAGGTATAACTGTAACAAATATAGGTATATCCAGAGTCAGGCAAACATAATGATGCAGAAAATGGGGAATTTTATATGTTTATTTAAAGTACGAGTAAATCTCAAGTCAGAAACACCTATCTAGGTATCGGTCTATAAATATATATATTTGTGATACAATATCCCAGTACAAACAGTCCTCAAGTTACAAGCATCTGACTTACAAATGACTCATAGTTAAGAATGGGAGTAAGGCAACAGGAAGTGAGCAAAATCTACACCTAGGAAGGGAAATTAATTGCTGAAAGAGTTAGCATGGGAAAAAGCTGCCTCCAGTGAAGCTTTATCACCAACCCTTGTTTCCACAACAAGCCAAAATTTTCAAAATCCAATTCTCACAGGGACAGAAAGTGAGGTGAAATCTAAGCAGGGGCACAAACTGCAAAACAAACACCACAGATGTGTTAACCCTTATCTATGCTTTCCAAAGCTGGGGGGTGGGGGGGGCAGTTACACATTAAAAAATGTACCTCTTCCGTCTTACAGACAAATTCAGCTTAAAAACAAAGCTACAGAATGTATCTTGTTCATAACTTGCGGACTGCCTGGATCTGTTTCCAGTGTAATCAGTTGTTGATACTTATCTAAGAGGTTGTGGTATTGTGCACTTATAGCTTAAGTAATTTGGATAGTATAAGATAATTTTTTAGATACTAAAAGGCTGAAAGGCTATATGTTTGTGTATGAATTATTATAAGATTGTATTTTATTCCTTATTAATGTAGATTTTATAATAGTTCCAATTGCTAGAGTCAATTTTCATTTTGTTTTATTACATGTATTTTGCTGTATTTTTGGAAAATGTATTGCATTTATTATGGAAACATTGCACCCTAACCCTGGTAGAAAGAGAGGACATACTTCAAGTAGCTAAATAAATAAATAAATAAATAAATAAATAAATAAATAAATAAATAATAGAACTATTTCTGGAACAAAAGAAAATCTGTTTTAAATCACAATTGTTAAAACATATCTGTCATCTCTTCTTTTGAAACAGTGGAATGTTTTTATTCATTTTTGTTTCTTGGAGTAGCACAAAGTATAACAACTAGAGCTGTGAATCAGAAAGAAAAAAGTAAAAGAATGTTCAGTGGACTGAATTGCTTTTCATTAATATCAATTTGATTTTGTATGTTATATGCTTGTGATGTACATGTGTTTACATAATATTCTGCACATTTACTCATAATTGGGAAGCCCTTATTTTTAGATGGTGCCAACCTTATGATTGGATCTGTTTTTGCAGTAAAGTGTGAACTATTCATATCCACACTATTGCACGGCTCCTTTCAGAGTTCCTGAAGTAGAGCTCCTCTCCGCTATTTTGCTCATTCTGTTTTTGGATAGGATCCTATCAGGCATTTTGCTGATACAATTCAGTTGCACCACTGGTTGTACTTTCAACAGCTTTGTGTAAGGAATGATATGGTATCCCCTCATACAAGTAGTTCCTGAAAATGCAACATAGCTCCACTTCCACCCCAACTATGACTCCCACTGATTGTCCTACAGGGTGCACCAGGGAGCTACCAGGCAGAGGCTTGAACTGGCCATGCCACCAACAGGCTGGCTGTTTCTACCATTTCTTCTAGTCTTTCATCAAAGCTTTGGTGGAGCTTTCTTCCGCACAGGCACTCAGTAGAACCTCAGAAAATCTCTTCAACTTGAAAAACTAGTGAAATTTAAGTTTTGAGACATGATTGTTTCCTAGGTTTCATCCTTTATTCTGGTTAGCTAATAACTTTAAAGTAGTTTTTCAGTTTCTTTGTGTTACCCATTGAACAATATGTTCAACAATAAACTACACTCTTAGGATTTCAAAAGACCTCTGAGGCTCAAGAGCTCAGAGTTGACAAAATCTTTGGAAGGAAGTATAAATCAGTGTCTACACTTCCTGTTACCTGATGGATTCATTTAGTCATAAAATTGTATTATCGTTTCGTCCAGACATGCAGTCTCTTGGGAATTAATATTCAGTCTAGAAGAGCTCAAGCTTTAGAGGCTGAATTTGCCAAAGGTGTTGCTATGGAATATATTTCTAAGATAACACTGCAGTAGAAACCAGCTGTCATAAACATATTTCTCAATGAGTTAATGAAGGAAGGGAAACAGCTGTCAAACTTTCGAGAAGTACCAGCTTTCC